TGTATTGCCAAATTTTGTATTGCTTTTTATTGTGTTGACTGGATTTTGGTGAATAAATACCCGAATGTGGAATATAAAAGAGAAAATAAGAAACAAGTAAGTACATACACACATATGTACATATTTCGGTAATTGCGCATCGAAAAATTTATTGCAAAAACATGCTCGTATTTTAATCGTAGTATTGACTGAAACTGATATTGAAACCGAAGTCAAAACAAGACTCTTCGTGCTGGCAGGGAATTTCAAGCTAGAAACAAGCGGTAGAATGAACTTTTTCAAGGTTTCAAAGTGACAAACTAGCAAAAAAATTAAAAAAAAAGAACACAGAAAACTGGCAGAAATCATGCAGAATAAACAATAGCGAAAAGAAAATTACACAAACTTTTTTTTTCCCCACAACAGTTCATTAACTTTCCATATGCAATTGTATGAAAAAGGGTTAATTTATTTACAAAGAAATGAGGATGATAATAATTTGAAATTTCGTAACTGACGCGCCTCTTGGCAAATGCTTCATCAGTGGGTTTGCATGTATTTGGCATGTAACAGGATCGTGCTGCATTTTTGTCATGTGTGTCGTGTATGGCTTTCAAAAGTATCTACATACATACAGTACACACATTATACACTACATCGAGGTAAACTCAGTAATTACCGTATTAATAGTTGTTCTTAAAAATGTCTAGCAAATTTGCCACAACTACATATTTACTACTCAGTCAATCAAATACTTAAAACGCTCGTTTATTTATGTTTGTATATATATATGTAGAAGAAGAAGAAAATGTATATAGAAATGTGCGTGTCCTTTTGTCAACTACTGCGAAACTGTACATACAATGCATATTAACAACAAACAAAACAGCCAAGTAACAAAGCAGCCAACTCTGCACAAAACTTCTGCGCAGACGCAACAGTTCGCTTTAAGACTGCATACATAGATATGTATTTAGGTAGAGTATGTCCTTTTATTGCTTTTTCCTTGCTCAAATTTGTGTTCGTATAAAGTAAAGAAGTCTTACTGCCTGTCGAGAATTTCATTTCCTGTGCTCTCTTCGTCTGCTCCTTGGGCCGCTCACTTGGCATTTGTTTGCTCACCGCTTTTGTTGAATGCAACTGCCGCACACAACGAAGACACACACACACACACACATTCATTTCCCATTAAAGCAAACGTCGTATCCTTTTTGAAAATTTCGTTTTCATTGCTGTTTCTTGGAAAGTTAAGGCAATAACTCATACACAAACAACAGCCAGTAGAAGTAGTATAAAGACAAAAAAAAAGTGCAATTCTTAACAGCGGTAGAATATCTACCTACTAACATACGTACATAAATACAGTATTGCTTGGTTACATGTAAACACACCGGTGATAAGTTCTCTTTACTGATAAGAAATTGGCAAAAAGTTATTTTTTATGTACGTACCATTAGTGCTTATAAGTGCGGTTTCATGAAAAAAAAAGTACGCGAAGCACCGAATCTTGTGCATTTTAGAAGGTGTTTATATCCGCGAAAAACTGTACATTCTCTAAATGGGCACCGCGCGCTGCTGGAATCTTTGAAGTAAAATTTTATTGTTTACATATTTCTTTTGGCTCTGCTCTACTACCGAGTTCTATTGCTAGGTAGTTAGATATTGTATAGTTGCTCGGTACAAGTAAGAATGCCAAGTAGACGGACTCGATTTGCTGTGCGAGATGGTATACTTTGATTAAATATTGTGAAATAATTTATCAGTTGTATTAAACTATCATATATGAGAGCCATATTGTTCCAAATATTGTTAACCCATTTTAGTTCAACAGCTATTCAAAAAAAAATAAGGAATTTCAACACACTTTTGAAATTATTTATGTCGAACTAAACTTTTTTTTCTTTTAAGTGTTCGCGTGGTACCTTACAGATTTACAAAAGCGAGACAATGCGAGATGAAAGATAATAGGAACGACCCAGATTCATATCTGTCCAAGGACACCAGTAACATTCTCCAAAAACTCTTTGGGAAATTTACATGCAGTTACAACACCAAAAACCTTATAACCCTGAGTATTTAGTCGGCTACGCTTGTCGAATATAAGAATTTGTGCTATTTGTTTCTTCATAATCTTACACAATCGTAATCTTTCGACATAAAGCCAGACAACCCTATCAGAGGGACAATGCCTAAGCTGTTCAGATGCTCGAAGAAATGGGTTTCACAAATCTCAAGTACGCCGATCGCAGTTTGCATTCTGTCTATATCTCATCTTTATAGCTTTACTAGATCGCCCTCACCCGCTTCGCTGAGTGTATGAAACTTCTACGTGCTACATTGAGTAAAATTTATTTCAAGAAAACTCAATTAAAAATCAGGAGGTTTACAATTTTTTAACCCTCTTCTAAATAATTTCAAACTGCATAAAACTTTCTTTCTCACTTATCATACTTTTTCGATTAACTTATCCCCTGAACTCAATTTGAGATTTTAAACATGTAGTTTGATACCCATATTGTAGTAATTCATTTAAATTATTAATAGTTTGAATTTAACCTTCTGAACAGTTGGCAACCTTTTCAAACCTGTTTCGTGTGACACTCATACATATTGTGATACATATTCAAAACCATTTCGATTCATACCAATCTATACTAATATATATTTTGAAAGCCGTTTTTTTTTGTGTTCGCAAAGCTCGAGAACGGTCCTATAGATTTTTTTGAAATTTCGGACACCTGCTTCAGACGTCCCAATGATGGTTATAGGCAAAAAAAAATCGCTATTTTTTTATTTGGCGTGGCACCTCCCATACAAATTCTATGTATATTGGATTTCTGTAGAACAATTATACGCATCCATTTTGAAGTTGCCACCAACTATACTATAGTTTCTGGGGCAGATTCACTATAGAACCGGATCACTGTTGCCGCCAGGGAGTGAAGAGGAAATGTTCTTCAAATTTATTTCGTTGTGAGATTAACCGTTCTATGAAATGCTGCACAATTAGAGAATTTCAAGAACTTCTTCACGGACGTAACACCTTCGTTAGGTTATTTAAGGCGGCAAAAGACCACCAAACCATAATATTAGCCGATGAGCGTGTCAATGGAAATCGTATACGTGAATTGTTGGTGAAAATGTTGGACCAAAATGTTTCAATGATAAAATTAAATTTGGGCGGAACGAAGTTTGCCGGGTCTGCTAGTATTATAATATTTTATTTAAACTAATTGAATTTAATTTAAAAAATGTGGCAACCCATGTGAAAGACTTCAATATTATTCAAAACTTTGAAACTAAAAGTTTCTTATCAATATTTCTTTTGACAACCATATTTTAATTCTTCAGATTAATTTAAATTTGACTTTTCAAACAGGTGGCAACCCTTTTCAAGATACATTCAAACTACAGCTTTTTTAAGCCTCTTTACATCCATTTTTTAATATAATTTTCAAATAAATAACTCCCTTAATTAAAGTTGAATTTGATTTTTTGTAAAAGGTGACAGCCCTCACCCATGAGCAGATAATGATTTTATATATCTCCATACCAATTTCCAGTAATGTACCAAAAATATTTCCTGAGAAATGCAGTATGAAAAATTCCGTTTGTATGAGAGGTGCCCTTTTCTAATCGAGATTAAATGTATCCTATATTTTAAGTTGGGCTAAATGACAGGAGTGTACAAAATTTCATGATAATCGGTTGAGTAGTTAAAGTGTGAAAGCGTAGCAAACAAACAAACTCACTTTCGGATTTATAATATTAGTAAGGATAATCGTTTTGAAGAACCGCAGGAACTTTCGGGTGTACGCAATAAATACTATACATTTGCCCATATTTATCACACCAGATATTAGTAGCTCTGGCGTCCTCCTAGAGAGAAAGAACCTCAGAGCGTGGTGTCTGTTTGTACTCGGCTTCCCAAGTCTTGCCCCTTTCCTCGCACACTCGTGCAATTTTTCATTTCCCGAAACTATAGACTGAGACCCATAGCATAGATTTTCGGCACTCTGCTAAATATTTTGTAGGCATCTTCGGATTATTCGTTGTCGACTTAAGCGCCTACAATTTCTTGCTATTTATTCAACTATGTACATTCAGCATACCTCTCGGCTCACAGTCTGCAACAACATTCGGCCTACATAACATAACATATTTCCTATTGGACTGCCTGTACAGACATGAAGAGCAGTTACAATTCCTTAACAGGCAGCTGCAAAGTTTGTTGCCTACTACTTTGTAAGTCAACAATAACAAAAGCAAAAGGTAGGCGACCCTTCATACACTTTCAACACCAACTAGTTAAAAGCAATTCCTGCACTCAATAACGAAGTTACAGTAGTGAGACCGAACTCAATTCCTTAAGACCGACTCCTGCCCGTGCGCACTAGTGGTGCACACACTATTAAATCAAGCAGTGAAGCGTATGCTGAGTTTGTTGACTGGCTGTTGCTTGCACACCTTGACGACGATGATGACGAGGGAGAGCAAGAGGACTACAATAACTGCTGCAACAACGTTATCCTGCCAACAAAACGAACTTTCGGGATCCTCGTACATAAATATTTTCTACTCCTGTAGTTTTCTTTCTTGTGTGCAGCCGCATGTATGTACAAACGATGCTGTATGACGCAGGGCTGAAGGCAAGAGAAACGGGGAACTGTGCTCACCTTGATTGTAGGCCGCATCTTTTGCAGCAACATATGACCGGCCACCACGGCCAACGCTGCCAACTATACCATACCATTCTCAGTGAATTTGTAAGACGCTTAGCGTCTGTCTGCAGCGGAACAGTTTGCATCTGTCGTTTTCGTTAACCCAAACGATTTGCTACATGCATACATATAGGTATATACTTCTGTACAATGCATTGCCCTTCTCTAAACGGTGGCCACATTAATGCAGAAAAGCGTTTTTATTAAAGTTCATGCATGCACGCAGTTCAAGAAGGTAGTTCGAAAAAAGCAGAAAAAATACCTTGTTATTGTTTACGTTTGTATTTTGTTTATATTCGTTATTTCTTGGGCTATGTGAGGAGCGCTAAGAAGAGCCTGCCAACAGTAAAACAGCAGATGTTACACAATTTTACCATAATCGATCTGAGTTGGACGATTCAAGCACATTCAACGTGCGTACATACATATGTGTTAGGTCGCCCTGTGGCATTTCATTGCTTGTTTCATTTATTTAT